GCAAACTACTAAACACTATTGTCTAGATACATGTGGGTCTTACAGATACAAATTGACCAGCATTTTCATTTTCATCGTTATTCCATCTCTTGGGCTTTGCCAAGAATAATAAAACATATTACCTGTTAATGTCGCTCAGTTACCTGAAACTTTTTGTATTCGCACCGTTTAGTTTGAAATACTATTCAATGCTGCTTTAGTCTACAACTATCCCTTCCGGAGCCTGAAATAAATATGACTTCTTCACTCATAAAGCTACGGTTAAAAGCTTCCGCTTACCATGTAGTCCGACTTAACAAAGAAGAAAACGTATTTCTCATTGTGGTTTATACTTTATTTATATTATCAGGAAACTACCAACATCAACACAATCTACACGTGTATAACAACAAAATAAAATATTCATAATGAGGATTGGATTACTTGCGTTAGCGAGCGGTCGAGTACATCGCTGTGTGAAAACGAGATAGAAAAATCAGACACGGTGTATCACGTGGAATATCTCTGTCTGAGGTGCGAGAAACTGTGATTTTCAGAATATCAAATAGGCTATTGCTTCTTCCGTTACGACTTATCTTACGCAAATGAATTTCCTCTACAATTACATCTGAACTTTCAAAATTGTGATCAACGACAACTTTGAAATTTAGAGAATCAGACGTTATACGGTCAAAAGCGCATGAGTGTATCTTTAATTATCAATGATCTTCCAAAAGAGTACTTTGAATTGACAGGTGGTACTTAAATGTTACCAAAAAATAAATAACCATCAAAGTTAAAATCAGACTTGAATAATTTAGACGTTTTTGACAACAAATTATGGATGCTCACTATTTTCAAATGTTAATGAATTGATATTCACCTTACATGTCGTGTACACAAACACATACATAGACTGTTTATGCTTACGAAATAAAGAGCAGCCTTCAATGTATACGGAGAATGCATTGTCAGCCATTGACGCGGTAATACAAATCAAATCATAGCTCTATGCATATGTCACCCTGGTAAAATACAAGCCGCTTCCTACCGACTCGGCTAGGGAGAAATTCTCTTTAGCTCATTTGGTGGAGCGTAATACTTGTAAGCCAGAGGTTCCAATCGCGTGTGGGATTGTGCTCTTAAGATATTTTCAGAATTATTGATTAATTGTTATAAGCAAAAGACCATGATCATACCCAGCTCATTCCTTACGGTGAAAGGCCCGTCAAATTGTTAGCCTACACTTTCTAGTATTTGTTTGGTTTTGAGGGAAATGTGCGGGAAAAAATATAATTTCCGGTTATTTCTTGCCTATTGTATATCAAAATTATGAAAGCGTTAGGCTATTTTGGGGGTGTTTAAAGTCTGCAAATCCAGCTTAAATAGACATGTATATTTGACGAAAATGTTTTAATCCCTTGTGTTTACGATTTTCTCCCCTGTTATGCAACATGCTTTGCAAGTACTAGCACACGTGGACTTATCCAAACACTTGTGAATACAATAACAAAAGGAAATATTTCAGAAAAAAAATATTCATTGTCAATATATGGCGTATTGCATAGTTGTACGTAAAACACAGCGAGATGAATAACATATCAAGCATGGAGTTCGCAGAGAAACTATTTTATAGGGGTTGTCTTTCATCATAACACCACACAATAAAGCGTTTGAGGTGTGCCAATCATTCACAGGATGGAAAAGCCTACTTATATTAATTGACATCAACGAAACATGCAAGGGCGGGGGGGG